TCTTTCTGAAAAGGAGGGCTCTGAAGTTAGAGGAGGGATGGCCCTTCCTTCTTGTTACACAAATTTTTCCTTACCATGATAATCTGCCTTCCCTTGGTTCGAGTAAATCATCCCAGGAAGGGCCATCTCTCTTGAAGATGTAGCTCTCTCCCTAGGTCTGCTGGTCTTTGTGCGTTTTCATAAGTTATATATAGAATGTTCCATTTCAAAGAAACAGCAAACCTTTCTTAGAAGTAAAATCCGTTTGGTAAAGGACTCCTTTAGCTTCTAGGGGCGGCATCTCTCAGAACAGGGCTTCTCAATGGTGGCATCAGAATTCACCCATAGAGCTCTTCAGAAAACAGCCTCCTAGCCACTTCCTCATAATTAGGATTCTTTAGGACCAGAGAAGACCCTGTGCATGTTCTGTGTGTTTCTCCCCTCCTCTACACACACATGCACACGCAGCATATGTATACATGTATCTGTATGTGTAAAATTATTCCGAGGTGCAGCCCCAGTCACATTCCTCCCAAATATGATGCAATAGAAATTACATAGCATCATCTACCAAGAATTCTCACCCAAAATATTTAAGCTGGATCTAACTTAGCCTTTAGATTTAACCTCCAGTTTCTATAACATAGAGGACAGCGAACAATTTTAAATGGCCTCATGAGGAAATAGACAAATCCAGATTGTTGGATGTCCCATAGGACAACCGGCCTGGTAGCTTCAAAAAAAGTCAGCGTGAAGAAGGAAAATGTGGGCAGGGCGGGAGTAGGTTAGGGTTGGAAGGACTGTTTTCGACTAAAAGAAACTAAAGACATAATTAAATGCAATGCATGAGCCTTGATTGAGTCACCGTCTCAAGACAACAGCTCTAAAGAATGGGGCAGGGTAGGGAAATCTGAGTGTGGACTAGGCTTTGGATATAAGGGAATTACTGTCAGTTTTCTTGGGTGTGCTCATTTTATTGTGGTTATGTAGGAAAATGTCCTTATTTGTAGGAGGTGTATGCTAAAATATTTAGAGGTGAAATGTCAAGACATCTGCGACTCATCTTCGAACAGTCCAGAGGGGGTGGGTGGGGAAAGTCTGTGTATGGGTATTAGTGTGAGTGAGTATACCATAGAGCGACAGAACAAATATGGCAAAATGCTAACAGATATTCAATCTGGGTGTTCATTGTCTATTTTAAACTTTTATGTATGTTTGCAAATTTTCATAACATTGAAAAACAGGTGCCAAGGACAGGTGGTCTGGCTCTGGTCTCCCCAGCAAGCTGCTGAGCAAAATGGTCCATGGCAAGTAAGCAAAGTAGTGTTCTTCAGAACTGTGTTTGTCATGGCCTCATTCGTGGGCTTTGCAGCTATTGTAATGATGGACAGTATTGGCTTTTGATGCAGCTTTGATTCAAGTCCGTTCAGTTTGCCTCCACCTTTCTAGGTAGATGTGAACTTGGCTCCTGGGTTTCTGTTATGGAATCTCCTAGCCAGCTGGCACTGGGTGGCTCTGCCTGACATGCCCTTTCTTCCTTTCTCACTGACAGCAGGAAGCTGCCAAAGATAGGGAAAGGTGAAGTTGCTAATCCAGTCCAACTCTGTGCAGCACCTTCACCCTTCCTTAAATATCAGGGATCTGTGGAGAGCATGTAAATGACCAACCCCCACGGACCAACCATTTATCTGTATTCTGACTATAGGATTACTCTAGATTTCTACAGCATTTTTTTTTTTTTTTTAAATTTCTTTCTAAGAGGCTTGACTATGAGAATCTTTATGCCAATCATAGCATCATTTGCTGACAGTCAGAGGGCCTTCTGGATTATCCACAACAGTCAAGTGTCCTGGAGGGGAAATGTATGTATTGAGTGGCCTGTGGATAGAAGACTTTTATACGGAATGTCAGTGAGGGCCTGGTTTTATTAAGTGAACTTTGGAGAAGTAGGGATTACAGTGAATAGCAGTGGGTACTGTGCTGAGTGAGGAGCTCTGTGGCCAAATCCCTGTGGTTAACAAGATCTATATACAGGATCTATTTCCCCTTTGATGCAAATGTTGTCTCAGCAGGCATCTCTGCACATGGGACATGGCCAAACTGGGACACTTTACAGAGCACACACCACTAAAGAGCCCCCTGCTGCATTTCCAGGTTTTCCCTGAGGATTTTTCTTGGGTCCTCAGTTTTTGTCAGCTTTGTGCATCCTGGCTATTCCTCTTATAGTAGTAATTAGCAGCTTGCTGGGGAGACCAAAGCCTCTTATTTCCCATTTCAGAGAAAAATAAAGGCCTCATTCCAGCCACTCAGGCATGGACATGAGAATCTGGTGTAGTGGATGGGGGATTGTTTTAGCCCAAATAGACAGGGAACTATATTTTCTAATCTTAACTATGTGGGTCCCTAAATCATCCTGCCTTAAATTTGCCATGGACCATTTTGCTAAGCCTGAATGTGCCATCTTTCCTTCTGGAGTTTCACATTCTTGCTCTTCAAAAGTTGCAACCGAATTGCATTTCTGACTTAGAGCAGAGCCTCCTGACCAGGACAGTAGACACTTGGCACATCCAATAAGATCCAGGTCACCTGAGAGGGTAGTAGAGTCCCGAGGTTCTGCAAGAGGAAAAATATGTAGAGGTTTTATATTCACATTGAAAAATTGCCATCAAACGGCAGAAGAGCAGGGATGGAGATCAGCTGGGCATAACAATAAATTAGTTTTCTAATCAAATTGGAAGACTTTGTTGAAGCCTCATTTTCTCCTAACAGGCTGGGCTCTCTAACAGTTGGGTCAGAGTGTTTGTGAGCCTGGAGGGTGGGTGCAGCTTTTCTAGCCTCCAGGCCTCCATATTTTCTTGTTCTCATTCAGAATGGCTGTTTTCATTATAATCTCCTTCAAAGCTCTTTTGTATTGGTAAGTTTTCCTTCAGAAGGCATTTCCATTTGGTAATATTTGGGGAGGGGGTAAGAATGAGTGAGTGAGAGTGGGTTATACTTCTGGCCTAATGTTAATTTATTTTCCACAGTTGAGTTTGGCAGCTGGGCCAGACAGTGGGGAAACAGGAAGTCAGACCAGGACCCCGCCCTGAAAGCCCACCAGGGAAGCTTAGACACCACCAGTGACCTCATCCATCTCGAAATAGCCTGTGCTTAATCTTTTTCTGCATGTAATGGCCAAGTTTCTGTTATCTATTGAGCAACTCCATCAGTTCAACTGCTGTCTGACCAGTGTCATCCATGTCAAGGAGAAGCCTCTGAGGGAAAGGAGTTGGTATTTATTGAATATTTACTATGCCGCACACTGAGCGAAGTACTTTAACAGGTTCCTGCATGTTCGTCACGATACTGTAAGGCCGGGTACCCTTACTGTGGTAGATGAGGAAGCTGAAAGCTGAGGAAGCTGCAGCTCTGAGAAGTCACGTGGTCGCTCAGTGGTGCAGCTGGATTTGGAACTTAGACTTGGTGGATTCCAAAACTCTTGCAGTGGAACATACCACCTCTGCCCTCCGCAGTGTTCCACGCAGCCTCATTACACACACCCTGACAGTTATTAAGAGCCTGTGTTCCTAGTATTATGCTAATTTCACAAAACACCACCTTGTATAACTACGGTAGTATGAGGGTTTTTTTAACATGTTGTGTTTTATGAGACAGTCACCTCTCACTAGGATGTCAGCAGCATGGTGTAGAAACTTGGACACTGGGTTTCCTTATTTCCTCACTTCTCTCTCCATCTTTGATAACTCCTCGCCCCACCCCGCTGCCATGGGTTCTTTGTAGTTCTCAGGGAATTGACAAGACCTAGATTAATACAATCTAATCATTCAGAACAGAGCCATGCGTGCCCAGATATCAGATGTGAGCTGTGCAATTCTTCCTGACCTTGGGGAGAGGGCAGAAAATGGGGCTGCCGACAAGTACTGGGGGCCCTGTTTCAGGGTTCAGGCCCCTCTGAAGGAGGTTTAAGACGTTACAGCAAAGCCCTCTGGTAATGAAGCCATTTGTCCTTGGGAACAGAATGGGTCCTTGTGAGAGTGGGAACAATGAGCATGTTGAGTTCCAGACCAGGGGTGAATGGAAGCCCAGGCAGAGGCACATGTGATTAATGGGGACAGTTCAAGGGATGCATTCTTTATAGGCAAGTGTCTGTTGTCAACAAGTCCACTCAGTGGTAATGATACTTATTTCGATGGTCATTTTTGAATAACTTCCACGAGTGACTAAGTCATGAATTTGAGCTTTTTTCCCTCCTCTTCTTGAGTTTTAGTGTAGTTTATTTTGTCTAAAAATCACCTTCTGAGGAATGTATGAAAAATAAGTTTGGGTAACAATGTTTTATTGTTTTGATAACATTGCTTTTTATATTTTCATTTACCTGTGAAGCAAATATTCTTACGTCGGCTAGTAATCTGATTCCTAGGCAATAAAATTTGATGTTGCTACTCTCTACTGTTAAGCAAAACTTTTGGTGCAAATTTTTCAAAACTTAGCTGGTCTAGTATCAAAACAGCAGGCAAAGAGTCCTGTAAACTTTAAAAAAGCTGTTGGTGGTTCACTGCCACTAATATCTAGATCTGTCAGGATCCCTGTGCTGTTTGACTTTCAAACAGATGATAGAGCCAGAGCTCTTACACAGCAGGGTGCCCCGCGGGTGGGTGCAAGGACTGGCATTGGCCCCTTGCCTCTGTCATGCTGTCTAGAGATAAGGGTAAGCACCACAGCCCGTTTTGAGAGTCTGGGAAAGGAGAACTAGAAACAAAGAAAAGCAGCAAAAGGGCTAAGAACGGCCACGTGCTGGCTAGGGACCAGGGTCTGCTCTAGCGAGGTTCTGTGGGGACCGGAGTGGCAGTCTGGGCAGGAAGGGTGGGCTGTGAGAGCGCAGGGAGTCAGGCTGCGGGACAGAGCTCAGGGAGTCAGGCTGTTGGGTTTGGGGGACCAGCAAGTTTGCCGGCGGCGGCGGCGGCCGCGCTGCAGGGGCGGGGCCTGGCGCTGCTGACCGCCTCCGCCCTTCTCTCCCGTAGGTGAGGCTGGCAGCTGCGCTCCGGAGCTCCGACATGGCAGCATGACAGCCCAGGACGGCGCCGCCAGAGGCTGGGAGAAAGGAGCCCCTGGCTGTGGGAGTGAGTACCCCGAGCAGCAGCGACTTCCTTCTGAAGCCTCCTGAGCTTCCTTCCCCACCGGCTTGTTTTTTTTATTAACTCCGTGGACTCCTCTTTTTCCGCCTTGAACATCAATATGTGTCATGTCATTGTCACCTGTCGCTCGATGCTCTGGACTCTCCTGAGTATTGTAGTGGCCTTTGCAGAGCTCATTGCCTTCATGAGCGCAGACTGGTTGATTGGAAAAGCCAAGACTCGCGGCAGCGTGGAGCCCGATGAGCCCAGCAGCGGCCCCTCGGAGCCCTACCACCCCACCCTGGGCATCTATGCCCGCTGCATCCGCAACCCCGGGGTGCAGCATGTCCCGCGGGAGACGCTTTGCGGGCCCTACGCTGAGAACTTCGGGGAGATTGCCAGCGGCTTCTGGCAGGCCACTGCGATCTTCTTAGCCGTGGGCATCTTCATCCTCTGCATGGTGGCCTTGGTGTCCGTCTTCACCATGTGTGTGCAGAGCATCATGAAGAAAAGTATTTTCAACGTCTGCGGGCTGTTGCAAGGAATTGCAGGTAAGTGCACATGGGAGGGAAGGGGCCTGAGAGCGGGATGGGCTCTGCGTGTGCAGCGCGCAAATATTTACTCCTTTACTGAGGGTTTTGAAGACCACCTTCTGCCTGGCTTTGCGAAGGTATGTTCTCAGCAAGAGGAGCGCGCTGCCCTCACCACTCCGTTTTCCCTGTTTCACTCTCCCGTAATGGAGAGGAGTGTGTTTCTGCTCTCACATGTTCCTCTCCACTGCTTATTTCCTGGGGTTCAAAGTTCTTGGGTTTTGTTGGAGTAACTACTCTTACTCTTTGCTTTTCCCATTAAATTAAAAGCATGCTTTCCATGTAGTGCATCCACTGAGGAGTCAGGTCTCACCTGAGGCAAGCAGTCTGTGCTAAGGAATGTGAGTGCGGGTGTTCATTCAGACCCAGTAAGCCAGTCCTGCCACCCACTCCCAGCCCCATCTCCAGCCGCAGGATGATTTCAGCTTAGGGAGGGGAAGAAGCAAGCTGGGAAGGAATTAGTATCAGCTGCTCTGTGTTTAATAACGTTCTGGTTTAAATTGTTTGTCTCCTGGAGCCTGAGAGAATGTTCTGTGTACTCAGATCAGAAAATACAAACTAACCCTTCCACTTTCTGGGAATGTCTCACTAATGAGCTGGTTAGAAATCTGGAAAGAGAAGTATGAGCTCTTTACAGTGATGGAGAGGAGAAGCTGTGAGCTGCAAGAAAACTTCCAAGGCCATCAGTTCTTTCATAGACTTTCCCATTTGGGTTTGAAAGGTGGACCCTGAACCAAAAGGGCATCTGTCTAGGCTCAGGGGTCTTATACCAGACAGCAAAATAGAGACATAGCAGAGTAAAGACATCCTCAAGAAAGTACAGGAATAGACTCGCTTTGATTTTCAGGAAAAAAATTAACTACTTAAACAATTATAATCAAGGTATTTATTAATCTGAACTCTTAACAGGAGAAACATTAATCCACCTATAACCCTAACTGGAGAGCACAAGTGACTCATCCCTCAGCAAGCCCTAAACCTGCATGCACTGAAGATAAGCACTGAGCCCGGTGTCCAGACCTGTAAAGAAACAGCCAAAATGCATTCACTCGAGTCTGCCTTACAGCAAACTCTTGAGCTCAGCAGGGAAGCTAGCTTCCAAATAACAGATCAAACAACATCCCCCTCCCAACAGCTGACAAGTTAATTTTTTTGTTCCTCAAATGTTTGGGGGGTAGGGGCGTGGTGTATGTGTTGGGAGGCAGATAACAGGCCCAGAGAAATCACAGAAGGACCTGCTCTACCATCCTGCTGTGTTTGCATGAGTGATATACTTCTGATAAATCTCAGGACCCCCGTTTCTTTCTCTGCTAGGATCAGCCATATCATGGGTGACCCAGGCACCCACAGGCACTCACGGAATTTGGGAGGCCAGGATTCTAATTTTCAGCTTTGCTCCTAACTTGCAGTTTCACTTGAGATAAAAACACCATCTCTCTGGACCTTGGCATTCCTCTTCTGAAAAATAGAGAGATTAGAAAGCATGACTTTACCTTAGTTTTTTTTTTTTTTAATCTTAGATTTTTGATTCTGTGAAGCTCACAGTCCCCTTTAAGATTCAATTCTGAAATCTGAAGTTTACCCCCTTCAGCTTGGCATGACACCTCCTGGAAATGATAAATATGATGGGTGTCGTGCCCATTCATCTGGTCAGAAAGATTACCCGACTTGATACCCCTCAGACACACCGTGCCTCGAGCACGTGCGTCTTCAAACTTTTGCTGAGAAATGTTACCAAAGGCTTTTGGAAAAGTCACAATGAACGTGCAGATGAGTGAAAGCCAGCACACGCAATTTGTTAGTCCCAATGAAGAACTCTGGTTGACCAGAGAGGCAGATTTCCCTTACTATGCTGCATTTGCTCATCCTTAATGATTTCATGCCTTTATTATGAGTTTTATCAACACACTTGTATGCAGGTGAAATTCCTGGTTTGTCGTCCCTAGGAATTCTTTTCATCTTGAGAAACTTAGTGTCTTCTAGCAAATCAGTGGCTATTTAAAGTAAGGGGTGGGACATCTTGGGCTGTAATACCACAACCTGTCTTTTACAGTCGTGCCGAAGCAACCTGTAGATACATACCCTTTAGTCTTAAATATGATTTGTATACAGTTTTTAATAAGATGTTTAGTCCAGTAAATTCAATCTCTAAGAATGTGGATTAGCCCAACAAATCTTTTGATGCTGCTATTTGCTATTTCACATAAATGGCAAGAACATTCGTTTTGACACAAAGATTAGTACGTATCTTTGGTATTATTCATACACTCCAGTGAGTTATTCCTGACTTTCTCTTCCCTCCTCCTCTCCCTTTCTCTCCCTCCCCTCCACTCTCTCTTGGCATCAGGCCTCTGGGAAGAAGGGTTGAGGAGAAGGAAGTAGCAGCACACCTCTGGGTGTTAGTCTGTTGGCCACATGTCTCCTCAAAGTTTAGAGTTTATAAAAAAAAATCTTAACTTTCTCCCCCCTCCCATCATTTTTGTTCCCCATGAATACTTATAGCATACAAGTCTGAAATTACTCAAAATTTTAAATTGGCAGGAGGCAGAGATTCTTGTATAGTAAGACTATCTCTGGGGCACACTGATCTAAATGTAAGCACTGAAATACAGGGAAGAAGTGGTTGCTTTTCTCCTTCCAACTGAACAGCCATTCCTCTGAGAAGAAATCCTGGGAAAGAACTAAGCATCAGTCAGCCGACTCCCTCTTAGTGGGGGAAGCAAGTGATC